TGTGAAAGAAGGATTGATTAATGGTTAACCGGTTACCGAAAACAGTTCAGTCTCCGGTCATCTTTGTGTGAAGAGGGAAGAGCCAAGTCAAAATTTTAAATGAAGGAAAGATAAAAAGTCGAATATTATGAGGTTAATAGGGCGACACGTGTATAATATTGGCACCGTCATTTGACCGTAACCGACACATGACCTGGCACGTGGTGGACTATTTGCATCTTGTTCCTCAACCCTAATAAATATCAGACGTTAAATTTATGAATTTAATATTCCAAGTCAAGGTGCAGAGGTGACAATATAATACACTCTTCATTATTTATATATGTGTGTATCCATATAATTTTGACCAAATTAGAACCAATTTACATAGAAAATTGATTCCACTAAAAAAATGCTAACTTTTCATTCCTTTAACCATTTCTATAAAACATACAAACTTTTCATTCTGAACACAAATATTAATGTATATATATATAGAGTCATCACCAGGTTTTTGTATGTTTTTTTTTTTGAACAAACACCTGGTTTTTATGTTAACCCTAAGAATTGTTAAAATTTGTTAGATATGCACTCCAAATCTATGTAAATAGTTTTTACAAATCTCATTTTAAAGTAAAGAAAACTTTTTTCCTGCATAAAGAAAACATACAAACTTACAAATCTCATTTTTTAAAGTAAAGAAACCCTTAATTTATTAAAATTTGGCTATGATTTTGTCTATTTACATGGATTTTAATTTTATTTTGTATGTCATGATTTTTATGAAAATTTCTCATTTTTCTGAAATCTATAATGGTAAAACGATTGATGGGATTAAACTTATTAGTATTCGAACAAGAATAAAATTTTTAAAACGTTATGAACTTTTCTAAGAATTTATGAACCATTATTTTGGAAGAAAATGGATATGCTGAAATGCTGACGGATTACCAATGTCATCACGCTGCTTAGTTTTTTTTTTCTGTTGAGTTTTCACATTAGAACTTTCTTCACGCATGTAAAATGAACATACAATAATAAAAAAATAGATCTACAGTATTAAAGCTTTAAAAAATTTAATTCATTTTAATCCCAAAAAAAAATAATAGTTTATAACTCGCCAAAAATATGGAATTGATGGAAAACGTAGAAGAGCAAAAAAAGAGACATGATTCCTAACGGAAATGACAATGTGAAATGAACAGATATTGATTTTTATATATGTACGGTCAAAAGAACATTATTAATTTGTTTTCCCATGAACTTTTTGTATTATCATATTTATATGATACAAAACAGTAAAAAAAATATAGCTGATGAAAAATAATCATAATTAAAGGTCATAGAAACGATATAATAATAAAATAATTCGAAAAACCACAGTAAAAACTTATGAATCAAACCTTATTAAATTGCTCATCTCATGTAACTTGGTTTTTTTTTTCTTAATAAATGATAAATTATATTTAATAAAAAAAATTCTGTTTTACATGAACGGCATCTTTCTTTTGTAACTCGGTTTTTCAATTCAAATATTACGAATCATGCATGTAGACTAGTCTATAGGGAAACATGATTATATCATTTAGAAGGTTTAAATCGAAGTTCAATGTTTCTGAAAAAAGCTAGAAAAAGATGGAAAGAAATTGTTGAGACAAGTACGTACAATT